ATTATAAGTAAACTCCGATTGCGCCATACAGTTGTCATTACATTTCGATATAACAATACTGTAGTATGATTGCTTAATAAATATTTAATAAAATACAAATATAACTATAATCATATAATATAATTAAATGTATAGTAAATATTATTTATACAGGTTTTTCATTTAATAAGAAATTTTTTTAATATAATAATCATTGTCAAAGCTTGCATATTGCACAAAATCAAATATAATTTTTTATATCAATATTCATTTCAAAAGTTTAAATTATTATTTTCTAATTATCAATTTATTATAAATACTAGACAGTTTCAATTAATCTAGTAATTTCTTTATAATTTTTATAAATTAGGTCCATAGAAATTTTTAAAATACGGATCTAGGCAAATTAGAATTAAAAGCTATAATTTATTTTTACCCACATTTACGCAGTAAAAAAATGATTATCCGAAAAATGAGCAAACTATTTTTATGTATTATAGTTGTCGTGAGCAGTTACTTGCTCAATTGTGATTGTGATGATAATTTTGAGATTGAGAAGTTTGCATCACTACTGTGTGTCCCCAATAAGACGGACACATCTATTGTGGATAAAGTGGTTGAATGTAATCACAACGAAACCAAATCAACCGAAAAGATTGCGTTAGAAAACAAAGTTTGTTAACATATTTACTGTCATTTTGAGTAAATAAATATTTCAATAAATTTCATATTTTTAGTTCAAACAATATTTGAAGGATTGCTTTAATAAATCTGATGTGAGCGCCTACACCAAAGTGGACCTGGCTAATGATGAGCGCAAGCTTATGTTAATAGGGTATTGCGATCACAAATTTATTGATTGTGGTGTACAAGTGTTTAAGAATAATCAAGCTTTAAGGGATAACCATGAACAGTTTAGCAAGTTGGCAAACAAAACTGAGCAGGAGATATATCATGTATGTAATTTTAATTGTTATATTGATACACAAACTAGTATTATGTATTAATATAATTTTCTATATTTACAGAAGTGTCTTATGAATATTTTCAAGAAGTAATATCAATGATAATTAACCTGAACAAACCATTTTAAAATAAGTAAATTATTATATTAATCAATACACAAACTAGTATTATGTATTAATATAATTTTCTATATTTACAGTGTCTTATGAATATTTTCAAGAAGTAATATCAATGATTATTAACCTGAACAAACCATTTTAAAATAAATATTATATTTATACACTGATTTAATATGTTTTAATTAAAACTTAAAAATTAATTATTTATTAATAATAATAATTTGAAATGATTAAATTTTTGAATAAAATCACATAGAAATATTATGCACCTTTAATATTTGTAACATTTATTTTATAAAATAATAAGTAATATCCAACACAAACAAGATTACCGTAAATATTAATAACAATTAAAAACACTACAAACATTCGGCAATAAAATTTAACTCAATAATCTTATTACCCTTAAAGGCACTGCTTTCTGTTTTATAAATATATCCTGATCATTTGCTGACATTAACTTTTTCAAAATATTTCCGAAATTCCTTGATTCCACACAAATTAGTACTATATTATAAGTAAACTCCGATTGCGCCATACAGTTGTCATTACATTTCGATATAACAATACTGTAGTATGATTGCTTAATAAATATTTAATAAAATACAAATATAACTATAATCATATAATATAATTAAATGTATAGTAAATATTATTTATACAGGTTTTTCATTTAATAAGAAATTTTTTTAATATAATAATCATTGTCAAAGCTTGCATATTGCACAAAATCAAATATAATTTTTTATATCAATATTCATTTCAAAAGTTTAAATTATTATTTTCTAATTATCAATTTATTATAAATACTAGACAGTTTCAATTAATCTAGTAATTTCTTTATAATTTTTATAAATTAGGTCCATAGAAATTTTTAAAATACGGATCTAGGCAAATTAGAATTAAAAGCTATAATTTATTTTTACCCACATTTACGCAGTAAAAAAATGATTATCCGAAAAATGAGCAAACTATTTTTATGTATTGTAGTTGTCGTGAGCAGTTACTTGCTCAATTGTGATTGTGATGATAATTTTGAGATTGAGAAGTTTGCATCACTACTGTGTGTCCCCAATAAGACGGACACATCTATTGTGGATAAAGTGGTTGAATGTAATCACAACGAAACCAAATCAACCGAAAAGATTGCGTTGGAAAACAAAGTTTGTTAACATATTTACTGTCATTTTGTGTAAATAAATATTTCAATAAATTTCATATTTTTAGTTCAAAGAATATTTGAAGGATTGCTTTAATAAATCTGATCTGAGCGCCTACACCAAAGTGGACCTGGCTAATGATGAACGCAAGCTGATGTTAATAGGGTATTGCGATCAAAAGTTTGTAGATTGTGGTGCACAAGAGTTTCAGAATAATCAAGCTTTAAGGGATAACCATGAACAGTTTAGCAAGTTGGCAAACAAAACTGAGCAGGAGATATATCATGTTTCTAATTTTATTTGTTATATTAATACACAAACTAGTATTATGTATTAATATAATTTTCTATATTTACAGTGTCTTATGAATATTTTCAAGAAGTAATATCAATGATTATTAACCTGAACAAACCATTTTAAAATAAATATTATATTTATATATTTATACACTTATTTAATATGTTTTAATTAAAACTTAAGAATTAATTATTTATTAATAATACTAATTTGAAATGATTAAATTTTTGAATATGATCACGTAGAAATATTATGCACCTTTAATATTTGTAAGATTTATTTTATAAAATAATAAGTGATATCCAACACAAACAAGATTACCGTAAATATTAATGACAATTAAAAACACTACAAACATTCGGCGATAAAATTTAACTCAATAATCTTATTACCCTTAAAGGCACTGCTTTCTGTTTTATAAAAATATCCTGATCATTTACCGACATGAACTTTTTCAAAATATTTCTGAAATTCCTTGAATCCCCACAAATTAGCACTACATTTTAAGTAAACTCTGATTGCGCCATAAAATTGTCATTAAATTTCAATATAACAATATTGTAGTATGATTGCTTAATAAATATTTAATAAAAAAAACAAAATCATATAATTAAATGTATAGTAAATATTATTTATACAGGTTTTTCATTCAACAAGAAATTGTTTATGTAATAATCATTGTCAAAGCTTGCATATTGTGCAAAATCAAATATAATTTTTTTTATAAATATTCATTTCAAAAGTATAAATTATTATTTTCTAATTGTCAATTTATTTTAAATAATAAACAGTTTCAATTAATCTAGTAATTTATTTATAATTTTTATAAATATAGATTATGTACGGATAATTTAAATACGGATAAAAACTTTAATTAATTTTTTTGTTTTTATTTATTTAATTTGTTTTATATAATATAATTCACTGATTAGTATTTAATATTGTTTAATTATTTAAACCTGATCCAATAAAACATTAATATTAAATTATAATACAATGCTGTAATATCTTACCAATTGATGTGGTAGCAATAACGTAATCAATAAATAAACTAATTTATTTGCTCAACTATGTACTCGATACATTTATATTGTAATCAGAGATTTCAGTTTTAAAGATATCTAATTTGTAATTAGTAAAATAGTCCATACAATTCACATATAAGTGCAATTAAATAATAAATTTGACATTTAATTTTGCCAAACATATTAAATTGTGCATTTTTATCATTTAATATAATTTATATTATACTAAATTTAATAAAAGTTATACACCGTTATAATTAAATTTATTTAAAATGAAACACATTTTAATAGTATTATCGTTCATGTTTATAGTCGTCAACAATTACTGGCTTAATTGTGTGGCTGATGAAGATCTGGAAAGGTTTCACAAAATACAATCACTACTGTGTGTCCCCAATAAGACGGACACAGCTATTATGGATAAAGTGGTTGAATGCGTAAACAAACACAATCAAACGACTGAAGAGATAGCGTTTGCTAAGAAAGTTTGTAAAACTATTTATAACTTACACTTTGTTATTATCCAGGTAAAATTTTTATTACCATTCAAGCATGTTAATTTTACATTTATAGCTTGAAACAAAACTAACTGATTGCGCAAATAAAGCTGATGTGAGCGCCTACACCAAAGTGGATCAAACAGTTATGGAGCGCAAGGCAACATTGATTGTGTATTGTGATAAAGAGTTTTTCAATTGTATGATCAAAGTGTTTGTCGATAATAAAGATTTAATGGATGAGCAAGATCGTTTAAACAAGTCAGAAGGCAAAGCGGTTGAAGTTAAGACTCATGTATGTACATTTTATTATCATTCATAATGATACTGATTTCATATTGATACATGTTACAGCAATGCATACTGGACGTGTTCAAGAAATAGCGATGACAAACTATGAACATGAACAATTAATTTGACAGTAACCACTACTCTTTATTCTTATAATTGAACATTTATTTTGACCCTTATTAGAATTGACATGGAAAACTAAATATTTAAAAATAATGTTAACATGTTCCAAATTAAATAATTTTATTTTATGAATTATAGTTATAAGTAAAAATATTTTTCTATTACCGGTAGTAATATTATAGTATTATACTTCTGTTATAATAAACGTGTATTTCCAAAACAACTAAAACTATCTTAATTATTAATAACATGACAAACATATCGGGGATATTTATATCAAATATCAATTATTTCGATAACTACTACTCATTCAAACAACACGTGCGGACCATAGCCTCAGTCACTAAATATGGGTCACAATTAGCAGCGGGACGTCTGTCCTCGAAATAGCCTTTCCCCGCTTTAATCACGTGCATCGGTATCCTAACGCTGACCCCCTTATCGGCCTCACCCGACGTGAACTTATCCATTTTGGACGAATAGTACTGTCCCGTCAATCGCCGGCTATTATCCCGACCCCCGAGCGGGTCATACACTCGCATATGTTTCGCATGATTTTTGCTCAACTTTTCAATCGCTTTCTTAATCTCGGGCAGACCTCCCGGGGCTCTCATAGCTTCAGTACTGAAATTGGTGTGCGCGCCGTTACCCATCCAACCGGCCACCGGTTTGGGATCAAACGACACGTCTATATGTAGGTCTTCGGCCACACGAAGCAGTATATAGCGAGACATCGTTAGGTCGTCCCCCAGACGTATGTCTTCACAGGGACCCACCTATTCATTGGGAAATGGATCTCAATTATTATACAAGCATTTAAATCATGCATTTAATACTAATTACTTGATATTCCCACTGAGACGGCTGTCCCTCCGATGTTTCGCCCCATATATTAACCCCTGCGTACAGACAGGCCCTGAGGTGAGCCTCCATCACATCCCTCCCAAACTGTTTACCCGCACCGACGGCCCCGTAGTAGAACGCATGGGGAGCCGTCAGGGGCTCCGGGTAACCATTTGTAGGCCAACCCAACGGCCAGTTAGTATCGGCGTTCATGAGATAGAACTCCTGCTCCACACCAAACCATGGATGTTGATCCCGGGCCGCATCCATGGCCTCATTACAGCTGTACCGGTGATTACAGGCCAGTGGTGTCATGTCGGCCGACAATAAGTCACATAAGACTAGCTTATTGTCACCGCCCCGGAAGGGGTCGGCGTATAGCTGTACAGGTCGTATGAACACCTCGACCAGACTGTCCCCCGTAACCAATGCGAAGTCAAATAACGGCACTTCCGATGCTTGTTTGGGCACAAAGTCTATGACTTTAGTTTTGCCACTGAAATGAGCCAGGTTGTCGTTGCCAGGGTGTATGTAGACGTATGTGACCATGATTTTATCCCGGGGCTGTTCCAGTGCCATATACCGGGCCATAAACGCGCTGTTAGATGCTAGTGATGTGGTACTCATAATTATTGTTAATTATAGTTATTTTATATAATTAGTTAAAACTATTTTGTTACTTGTTGTAAGTATTGATTGATTTATTTTTATTTTAACGCAATTCAGTGTTTTGTTTGTCCTTTTATATGTGTTATGATTAAGTAATGTTATGTCATAATTTACTCTGTGACAATTCGTATAGATTATAAATTCTACTTATTATCATCAAATTTCTGATAATTATGATTATTCTCTACACAAATGCATTAACTGATTGAGATTAGGAAAAACGTAACGAATTTGTACACAAACACTACAATTGAATATCCAATTACAATTGAGCAAGTCATCATTGTAGCATTTCAGTACATTCATAAACTGACGTGTGTTTATTTCTGCCATTCAACGTTCTTAATGAGATTGATCATATTGACATTTATTATCATTGATCATTGATCAATATAATTTCATGTGCTTTTTAAGTAGCTGACAGATTCATATTTTTATAGAAATTTCCTAATAATTGAATATATTAAATATAATTTAAAAATAAATCTTAAATAAAATATAATAATTTTATAAACTTTAAATGCTAAAATATTTCAATTTTATTTATCAATATTCATAAATTAATATAATGAATTTATAACTGTCCAGCAATCTATAATGATCAAGAATAAACTATCGAATTTACTAATTTGATCAGGGTCACCGTCAGTAGTGCTAATGAGACGGCAAAGTACTTCAAACAAATTACCGCCGGATTTGTATACAAGGATTGCATGTATTTATTGTCCGGTAATAGGATTTGTGACATCAGTCTAACCACTCGTGCGATGAGTGATAACTGTTGGACACAAACCATCGGTCAATGGATTGGATGTAAAGATAGCGATAATAATAAGACTAATGATAACCCATTACTGGTGGTTATCATCTGTGGTCTGGTATTCATCGCTATAATAGCAGTCAGTATTGGATTCATTGCATACAAAGTGTATGGAAATCGGAGACAAACTACTCAATCAAGACTTCTCGAAAGGGTTGCACTTTATAGACACTCATAAAACATGTGTTTTTTGAAATGATTTGTGTTTATTAAATGATAAATTAAATAAATAAATCTTTACTTTATTTCTTATTTGTTTATTCAATTAATTTTAAAAATTTACTTCAATTGATAAAAATAATAATTTTAATTATTTTATAATTGAGTCCTATTTATTCAATATTTTTCAAAATAAAATGAATAATCAGTAAACATAATATAAAATGTTTGACAAAAGGGTATTTATGGGTTTATTTAGTTTTAAAAATCGTAGAATTGAGCTAGAACAAAATTAAAATTTTTGCAACTATGGTTTTCTAGCACCGATCTAATGGTATGCCCACTTTTATCCAGACATAAGGGGAACGGTAGATAAACTGTCCGTCAATAGCTCAAAAACTATATGATGTACATAAGATCTGATTTTTGGAAATTGTCCGCAGGGTCAATATGAAAAAGTAATTTCTGGATTTTGAGAAATTTTGCCATATTGATTTTTAAAAATGCTTTATTTTTTGAAATTTTTATGATTTGAAATCCATTAATGTCATCAACGACTCAACGGATCTGGGTGATTTCAACTTTGTTGGAATTGTCTTTCAAAATGTTAAAAATTATTTGCTTGCACCGATACTGTATTTTGTGCGCAGAATTTCGTTGTCTAGAAATAAAATTTTTCTATGCGTTTTGAAAATACATGTAAAGGTATATAACAATAACACAGGTATAAAATAAATACATAGAGAAAATTGATTTTTAACCTAAATTTATGTTTGTATATAAATATTATATAAAATTAATTAAAAATTTAACAAAACAGTAATAATATAATACGCAGTTATAATACAATTCAGTTATATATTACAATATAAGTACAATATAATTAACATAAAAATAATAAGTAGTTTTGATCAATATCCTTTATAATAAATATGTCTCATTAAAATATAAAAACTTTTTAAATTGACGTAGGTGTCACCTATTGTTTAGATGTAAATTAGATGTTTAGTTTTTATATTCAATTTTTAATTAATGCTAAAAATAATTAAATGAGATATACAGTACACCAGTATATCTTAATGAATTCATTATCCCATTTATAGCACATAATATTTGTTATGTCAATTTTTTGTTTTACTTTTATTTCTGTAGTCATAGTAAATACAGTTTGATATCATTATACAGTAGTCAGCAATTATTATCTAACTTCATTATAGGTGAAAGGTGACTTGTTTAAAGTTTAAACTTGTTTTAAATCACTAATATTTAGACCATATTGTAAGCAAGCAAAATAATTTAACAGGCTATTTATAAATTTTATGATTTAGTATACATTATGTTAAATATGATTAAATATATACTTACTAAACGAATATAATATTTATATTTTTATTCACTTATTTTGTGGTTAGATTTTATTTAAATAGTATTCATGAATTATATTATATTTAAAGTGCATTAAAAATTTATTTAAAAATGAATGTAATAATAAACGTGGTTAATTTATTTATTAAATTTTGTGCGCTAATAAACACATTTTTAATTAAATGTCTATTTGTAATAATAAAAATTATATTATTTTTTAAGAAAGTTTATAACATTATAATCATTAATTTAAGATTTAAATTATTATTATTATTGAAAATAATTTGTTTCATAATTTTAAGCTACGAGTGCTTAGAGATAACCGTAGATTTCCTACACTATCCCTATGTCTATAAGTTTAGTGTCGAGACTTCAAAGGGTTTGGAAATACCGCCGATCACTATATGTACGGAAAGGGATGTGTTTTTCGATAAGACAAGGATTGAGAAACACTTTAATCTCAGCGATGATTACGAGTCATACAAATCAAAAGAAAAATCAAATGAATATGATTTGTATAATCAATGTTTAACTTATTTTATGGACAAAATTAAACTTTACCAAGATGCGGCAGAAGAAAGTTGCAAACATTTAAAATATAAATATAATTATTTACTTCACAAATATTTCGAAAAATATAAACAGCAATTGTTATCAAAGTTAACATTTCGTGAATTGTATGATAACTTTACCATAAAGTCTTCAGAACTGATCCATTGTTCGGCAAAATTGCATTCAAAAGACAAAACCAATAATAATGACAATAATAGCAGTGATTCTCAAGTAAT